CCACTTCCAAAGTGCCTAAGTCCCTCTCCATCCCAAGTCCCGTTGCTCTGCAGCCACCAGCCCACCCCAGGGCCAGGCTTCGCGCAGCCCCCCGGAACTGAGACTGAGCTGGGACCGCATAGCCGTGGGGAGGGGCATCCTTGGTAGGATGGAGCGTGAGGGTGTGGGGCCAGGGAATAGTGAAATGCAGAACCAGCTTAGAGAAGAGCTGCAGCGGGGAGAGGACGCCCTCCCACTTCCATTTTGTAAACTGTTCAGATTGTGCCAATGTGCCTCTGCCCCTACCACCAGCCCAGGGTTTAGTAGCAGGTTTGGCCTTGTACTTGGTTATAGGAAAGGCCTCTGCTCTGAGCATGGGGGTGCCTGGCCTTCTGAAACTGGAGAAGTTGGTAGAAGTCACCGAGTGAAGCCCAGTTAACAGATGGGAAAACTGAGGTCTCCAGTGGCCATGCCAGTGGCTCAAGGCCACATGTCACTTAGTGATTTGGCTGGAGCCAATGGCCAGGTTTTCCCATTGCTGCCCCAAGATTCTAGCCATGGTTTTCAGGTGATCAGTGGACAGGAACTGAAAACGGTGAGAAGAAAGAGCAAGAACGTGACAGGCGGAAGAGGGAGAAGGCACTGACCCAGGGCTCCCCTGTGACCAGGGTACCCTAGCAGGGCCAGATACCCAAGGCCAGGGAGCTGGTCAGTCCAGGAGGGAGGCTATGGAGGTGACCACTATGAAAAGGGAGAACAGGAAGAGATTCCAGAGGCCGACCACTGGGGGGGGGGGGGGGGCGGTGGAAGGGGAGACTTAAAAAGCTCCCCTGTGGGTGGACTTTGTGTGTGAGCAACTTTGCCATTTTCCTGGGGCTCCCAGGCCACCTGTCCCCCAACACTGTACACTGCTGCCCGGCCCATTGTTTATTTATTGCACGAATGTAAGTTATTCTTCTCAGCTTTCCTGCCCGCTCCCTGGAGACAGTGTAGTGGTGCCCTGAGCTGGACTTCATATTTTATATCTGCAAAATAAATCACATTTTATCATTTATTTAGGGCAAGTCGGACAGTAACCAGAACCAACAAAATGTTTTAAAGAAAAATGAAAAGAATTGCCCGGCCCCCAGAATTTATTTATTTTCTGACTTACAGTGAGCGAGTTATCCGCCTTCTGTATTTTGTAGACTTTCTGAATAAAGTCAAACTCTTTTTCCACAGAGAAATGCCTATGTCCTGGGTTATGTTTGGGGGTGATGAACTTCTCAATGAGGGGAGGTCTGCTTTTGACCTGTCATGACCCAGTCAGGGGTGGGAAGATTAAGCTCCATTTTACTGGAGAAGAAACTATCTCTGATACAAGTATGTATGGAGTGGGAGGAGAGTGGGAACAGGGAAAAACCCAAACCCACAACCAATTCTGACCCTCTTTAGGGTTTCCAAGACTCTCAATTTTTTTTTTTTTGAGAAGGGAAGAGAAGAGGCTCCACTGCTTTTATTGTAAGTCCCTGACAACACAGGTTTACTTTTTCTTCTCCACGTCCTGCTCTGTGGCCTCCTTGGCCCTCTTTGCCTAGATACCGAAGAGCCAGGCATGGGCGCGGGCCACGCGGAGACTGGCAAATGCCTTGAAGTCCTTCTCTTCCTGCATGATGACTCGAGCTTTCTCTTTCTTGTAGACATTACGGATGGGTATCACTGGTCTGGTCAGCTGAGTGGCCAGTTTGAGTTCTTCAGCAAAGCTGTCTTCCTTCTTGGGGGCAGAGGGCTTCTGGGAGAATAAGATGAGCTTGGAAGGATATTCCTTCAGCCGCTGAACATTAGCCTGCAGGGAATCAGTGGGTTTGTTCCTCCTCCTGGGGTCCACAGAGATCCCGATGGTCTGCGCCACCTTCTTGTGGATGTCAGCCACCCTGTTTTCCAAGCTTAAGCCCCTGCCTGCTCAGACTTTAGTGTGATACTGCACAGGGCGCAGGGCAGTGTGGCGGGCTTTGGTTTGTTGGGCCTTGAGTCTGCGGATCTTCTGTGCCAGCTGGTTGAACCACGTGGTTACTTGCCGCTGCCAGTCCTTAGGGAAGTGAGGCTTCAGGATCATGCCACTTGGGTGCCATGGCTGGCTAGGGCCCTCCTCGAAGTGGAATGGCCAAGCAGAAAGAAGACTCAATCTTGACGGGAGCAGAAAGCCTCATTTTTCTCCTGAGGAGGGCCTGGTGGGTTTGAACCTCCGGATGGAGATGAAATCTGTGTCAGGCTTCAGTCTGGCTGCCAGATCCGGGAACCTCCCTAGGGAAGGCACCACCACCAGGAAAATAACTTTTAGGATGAAATTCCCTGGGTATCCCTTCAGCTCCAATATTCAATCCGACCCAGAGAGGAAAATTACCAGATTTCAAAGTTCTCTTGCCATGAGTTGCGCCTCAAGGTCTGAATTTCTACAGCCAAGCAGAAAATACTTTCCATGTTCTGGAAAGTCAAGGGAGGGGTAAACAGCTTGTCAGTGCCAGCCTGCGGGCCTAACAGGCAGCCCTGTGTCTTGTCCTAGGCTCAAACTCACTGGAATTTCAACCCCGTACCTTTCTGGGACACCCTGAGACAGAATGAAGGGTACCAGGGGCTGTGGGCCAGAGAATGGGGTTTGAGCACAGGGTGTGCCACCCTAGCTGTGTGACCTTTGATGACTGAGCTGTACCACAGGTGAAAGAATTGGCCATCTGCTCCCGTTAGGATTCTTTGTAAAGTGCTGTGGAGTCGATTCCCAATCATGTAAGCGTCGTCGAGTTGGTTCCGACTCATGTTGTTGTTAAGTGCCATTAAGTCAGTTCCAACTCATAGCAACCCAGTATAGGGTTTCTGAGGATGGCTGGTAGGTTTGAACTGCTGACCTAGTGGTGCAGTTCATTATCCTGAAGTGTCATACCAGGACTCCAAATGGTAGTCATCCTATATAGGGTTTCTGAGGAGCGACTGATGGGTTTGAACCATCGACCTTACGATTTTCAGTCCAGTGCTTATCCTAACAAGCTACTCCGGGTCTCTATGAGGATTACAGCCTAGGAAAAGCCTATAGAGCAGTCCTACTGGGTCATAAGGGGTCACTAAGTCCAAACTGATGGACTCAACAGCACCTGACAACAAACCTCAGGAAAGCCTGACTATCCTAAGAGTTGGCAGTTCAAGCCCACCCAGCAGCTCCTCAGAAGAAAATCCTGGCAATGTGCTCGCAGAATAATTGTTGTTGTTAAGTGCCACTGAGTTGGTTCCAACCCATAGCAACCCTGTACCGGGTTTCCCAGGAGAGACTGGCGAGCTTGAACCGCCAACCTTGTGGTTCAAACTGACTTTGCAGTCCAGCGCATTAACCCACAGCGCCACACCAGGACTAAACCCTACGGGTCAGTCTGTTCTACTCTCACATGGGTTGCTGAATGGAAAGTTAATTTGAGGGCAAACAAGGAGGCAGTGGTGGTGGTGGTAGTGACCCTGTATAGGGTTTCAAGGCTATACATTTGTTGTTGTTGTTGTTAGGTATCATCGAGACCTATGCACAACAGAACAAAACACTGCCCAGTCCTGGGCCAACGTCACAATTGTTGCCACGCTTGAGTCCATCAATGTCACCACTTGGCCAATCCATCTCGTTGGGGGTCTTCCTCTTTTTCTCTGACCCTGTACCTTACCAAACATGATATCCTTCTCCAGTGACTGGTCTCTTCCTGACATTATCTGAAATTTGAGAGACGAAGTCTGACCATCCTGGCTTCCAAGGAGCACTCTGGCTGCACATCAATTCTTCTATGATCTTCCTTATTCACTGTCCAACTTTCACATGTATATGAGGTTATTGAAAATACCATGGCTTGGGTCAGGCGCACCTTAATCCTCAAGCTGACATCTTTGCTCTTCCACACTTTAAAAAAGGTCTTGTGCAGCAGATTTGCCTAATGCAATACGTTGTTTGATTTCTTGACTGCTGCTTCCATGAGTGTTGATAGTTGATCCAAGAAGAATGAAGTCCTTGACAAGTTCAATCTTTTCTCTATGTAGCACGATGTTGTCTATTGGTCCAGTGGTGAGGAATTTTGTTTTCTTTACATTGAGATGTAATCCATACCGAAGGCTATGCTCTTCAATCTTCATCAGTAAGTATTTTAAGTCCTCTTCACTCTCAGCAAGCAAGGTTGTATCATCTGCATATTGCGTCTGTTAATGAGTCTTCCTCCAATCCTGATGCCACATTTTTCTTCATATAAAACTTTACAGGATTTCATGTAAATCTTTACAGGAGCAGAAAGGCTCATCTTTTTCCCTTGGAGTGTCTGGTGGGCTTGAACTGCTGACCTTGTTGTTAGCAATCCAACACGTAACTTACTACACCACCAGGGTCCCTTAAACAAGGGGTAAATGTGAAAGTCACAAAGAACTCAAGCGGCTGTAAGCAGTTCCATGCAGAGGGAAGAGGCAGCTGGCACAGGGCAGGATAGGCTGAGGACGTGCGGAAGGTGCAGGGTTTGAAAGTCTGGGGAGGACCACACGGGCAGTCTTGGGCTTTCCCTGTCAGTCCAGAGAAAGGGCAGCGAAGCGGGAGGCGGGATATTTACCTCCAGGCAGAGATGGCTGGGAATTTCCCCCGCCCACGCCACATTCCTGAGCTCTCAATCAGCAGCCATCAGGCCCCAGAAGGCCCTGGGGCAGGCAGTGGGCAGGGGCCCTGCTCAGCCAGGCACCTAGACTGGTGTTGGGCCCAGAGCCCCCTGCCCAGCCCTCTTGAATCAGGGGTTTGGATACCCATCCTGGAAGGCTTGAGGGTCTTAAGAGATGCCTTCATAGGTAGGGTCCCCTCTCCCTAACCCGCAACAGAGAACTTCATGCACACTAGATCTTCTGAGAAGGGAGGGTGGGCCTTGGACCAAGGCTGCCGGTTCAGGGGGAGATACTCTGTCCAGTGGGCTTGATCCCCCTCCCACCACACGTGACATACAGGAAGGGAAGCCGCTTTTGTTTATAACTACTGCCCCCACCCCAAGCGCATCCCTGTGGGGCAGAGAAGAGGAAGGAAAAACCTCACCCACACACAGAAGAGATTTCAGTACAATCTATATTATCTCAGATATATATTTCTTTCTCACTTTATTTGCTCACTTCTGTCACACATTGAAAATGTCACAGAGACCAAAATAGAGCGGCTTTCTGTTGGGACTCATGACAGTCATACACAAAATACAAAACTAGGGGCTCTGTGTTCTCATACATCATACAAGTTTTCAAGTATTTCTTATGTACAAAGAGCTACTCTAGCTGGAAAAAAAACTGAAAAAAAAAAAATAAAGACAAGGTAGGTTATGCATCCTAGGAAGGGGGGCCCAGAGCGGGTGGGCCCATGTTCCCAGCCCCATATCCCCGAGACCCACGGAGCTCCTTCACCAGCCACACCAGTGGGCAAGTGCCGGGTGGACAAAGACCAAGGGGCAAGGAGTCAGCAACACACTTTGGCCTGGAAAGAGAAAGGAGGAGCCAGTGAGACCCCCATGGAAGTCAACCATGGGAGGGGGTCTGAGGTTCATCCTCAAACAGCCTATGTCTGCCCGCTGCCTTCCCTAGAGGCAGGCACTGGTACCCTGCTGGCCAGGATCTATAGTCCCCCAAGGGGCTGGTTTCCATATGGATGGAGCCGCTCACCCCAACCCTCATCACCTTGCCAGGGTGGGCACCTGTTCACTCCAGAGTGGCCTGGAGGTCTCTCTCCCAGCCCCACCACGCCCCTCCTCCAGGCTGGCAGCCCACTTCCAAATGTGCTCTGGGTCTCAGTCAACAGGAAGCTCTGCCTGTTAGAGGAGGCAGACCAGAGCGGACTCTTCCAAAGGCAGCGGCCTGGTGGACACCTGGCCTGGCTGGGGGCTCCGGCATTGGGAGGGGCGAGGGGAGGAGGCTGGTGGTCCTAGCCACTGCTGAGGCCTGTTCTGGGGTGTGAGGCCCAGCAGTGCCAGAGCTTCACAGTGACCCCTGGAGGGTCTGGGACAGACTAGGGGCCCGAGGAGGGGAAGCTTGCAGGTGTGACTAAGGCACAGAATGGGCTGGGGCTAAACAGGGCAGGGCGGCAGACCCTCCGTGGGTATAGAACCTGGAAGAGGGGATGGGAGCCCCCTGTCCCAGGACCATGTTCCTGTGGAAGCTAATCTGAAATGGGAAAAATTCTGGGGAGACCTGAAGCCAGCAGAAGTCCCCATGGGAGAAGGCCGTGGGCTGCTGGCTATCTGCAAAATGTCAGGGGAAAAGGGCAGAGGGGCGCTTCTCACTGGGGGAAGCCACATCCTAAGGAAGGGACCAGCCATGGCTCTCAGAGTCTGGCTCTGATCCTGGCAGCATGGCCCACGAAGCTCCCCAGAACATGCCTTGGCCCCCTGCTCCCTGTCCTGCCCGGGTCAGGCCTGTCAGCACTGGGCAGAGGAGGGAGCAGGCAGGGAAAAGCCCCATCCAAGTATTGCACGGTGTGGGGTGGAGCTGCTGGGATTGGGGGGTGGGGACCTCATTGTAAGAGTCTCTGAGGGAGGGGCAGTGACAGGGTAGGGCCTGAGAAGGCTGCAGCCACTGGTCCACAAAGCACTGGGGTCTGGGCGTGGCTCGTCCCGGAGTGCGTGCCCTGTCTCGGGGGTCCTGCATCTGGGACAAGCAGTGCAGCATTGGCCATGTGGACATTTTCCTGAAGGCTTGTGGGGAGCTCAGGTTCTCCCGGGCAAACAACATCAGATATGTGTTTCTGGTCCAATAAATTAAAGGGCATTGCCAAAGCTGGGCCAAGCTGTCTCCTGGCCCAGACTGGAGGCTGGAGTGAGGACATGCCCTGCCCTCGGTGCCTGAGCCTGTGTCCCCCAGCAACCCCAACCTAGAACTCATCGTCTGAGCTGAGCAGGAGTGTCTTTTCGTTGTCACGGGCCCCGCTGAGGCCGTGGGTGCCGCCGCGCCATGTGGGGCCCGGCTCCAGGGTGGACTGCTGTGTGTACTGCTGGTAGGCCGGGGAGAAGTTGTGGATAGCGTCCTGCACAATGTCGTGCGGGTTCATGGTCTCCTTGAGGCTGCTGGAGATACTCTTCATGGGGGCACAGCGGCCTGCGGGCAGGAGGCGGGAGGTGGGTGAGGATCTGTGGTGGCTCAGCCCCGGCCCCCACCCTGAGCTTCCTGGGAGAGAGAGTAGGGTCCAGGACACAAGAAGGGCAGACTAAGAAACTGCTCGTTTAGCTGGGGGGGGGGCTGGAGTGAAGTGCAGCCAAGGAGCCCTGAGAGGTGGCCGAAGCACATCAAAGGGAGTGACAACCACTGAGACTGGGTCAGCAGGTGGGAAGGGCCCTGGCGGAGAGACTAGTAACTGGCAGCAATGAGCCTGTGCCTGGAGCTTGGGAGCCCCAAGCCAGCCTCAAGCATCTGTGGCTAGTTCAGTATGGAAATGGGAGGGCCAGGTCAGAGGTCTGGGGGGGCCGGATGTATCCAACTAGGCACCCTGATCCATCAGCTCCCACTGTTGGGACCTGGAGCCTCAGCAGAGCAGAGACCAAAAGGTTTGTGCCAGGGTGGGCGCTGCATGCCTGGATGTGCCACTTCCTGATTCCCATATGGATGGAACATCCCCGGCTCAGAGGGGAGTAATGGCCCTGGCCACAAAGCCCAGCTGGAACCCAGCCAGGTCTTCTGACATGCATGCTCTTTCCATGGAAACATGGCTAAACACCCCAGTTTCCCATTAGGCAATGCTGTGTCCCTGCTGAGCAGACCATGAGCCTCCGGGATGGAAGCAGGCAAGCTCTCGGGAGGTGGACCTGGGGACCCAGACTGGGCAGGGAGAATGGTGGCACTGTGGTTGGTGGACTGGGGACACAGAGAAAAAGCAAGGAAGAGGGGCATGCTGGTGACAGTGACCAGGACTGACGTGCAGGACAGACGTGCAGACTGAGAGCAGAACCTACCGTAAGGGCCGTATGTTGGTACTGCCCGAGGCCAAAAAAGCAGGGCGGGGGGAGGGGGGGGTGGACAGGGAAGAGAAGCCGGAGAAACAGAGAAGAGACAGTTGTGTGAGCAACATCCCCCTGATGGCCGTCAGCAACCACTCCAGACACCCGCCGCCCCGTCCCAAGGCCCTCCCAATGTCCAGAGGGCTCCAACTGTCCCCTGGCACCTTGGAGGCCTTGTGGATCTCGGGATAACGCCTGTGGTCTCCCACTTTTGTTTCAGGGAGGTAGGGTGAGGAAAGACCAAACAGTGGGCACCCTGACTCATCACTCATATTCAACCTCAGTGTCTAAGTCTGAGCCCCTTCTTCTCAGGCCAGGCTGGGGCAGGGCACCTCAGTTACAGAATGGACATCAGAGGGGGGCCTGAGAGGCGGGTGACACATGCAGCAGCTCCAGCTTCCTTGGAGGCCAAGGCAGCTCCCTGCTGGGAGCCGGAGTTGCATTTCTGGTCCTGATACTTCTTGCAGGGGGGTGGGGGGACAGTGTGGACAAGCTGCTCAGGCCGGACAGCAGAGGTGGGTCTCCGTCTGCCATGGCCCTGACTGTTCCTGGGAGTGGCCCCAGGCTCCAGGGCTTCTGCCAGGACTAGGTGTAGTGGACATTGTTATCAACACTGGCCGCTGGCTCTGCTGGGCAACAGGAAACTGACAAGCTCTGGCCAGCATGGCGTCTGGCACAGAGTAGGTTTGCGATCGAGAACTGAAAATGACCTCCAACCCCAGTCAGCAAGTGTGTTAGCAGACAGGGCCTGGTGGGCACTGAGAGGCCTGGAGTAAAATTCAGTCTACCGCCCCAGGACACAGGCTTTGATGGTCTCCTCCTACTCAGGGAAGGACCAGGGCCCTAAAGGAGGAATGGGCAGGCTGATGGTGATTGAACTCCACTCAGACCCCAGTCATGGGGCCTGTTTTCATGCCCTCAGCAGCTCCTGAGTGGATATATTAAACCACAGGGCTTTTCCTCCCCCGTCCCTCAGGCTTTCTCACTGGGTCAGTCTCAGCCAGCCTCCTCCAGGTTAAGGAGGTGCCCAGCAGCCACCAGGGCAACTCTCCCCCTGGCCCACTGCAGCTTCCCACAAGAGATTTGCTCAGAATTTCCTCAGGAAGCTTTCAGAGCACATCCCACCCAGAACCAACCCAGTCCTGTTCCATCAGCACCTCTGAAGGCAAGGCCCAGACGAGGTGGGTTTCAAAGTTCTCTGGGCATTCTAACGACAACCAGGGCTGATAAGCACTTGTCTGCTGTGGCGCTACAGGATCAGCACTGAGTAGCAGTTAAGTCCATCAGCTGCTCCTCAGAAACCTACTACAGAGTCACTATGAGTCAGAACAAATTCCAGTGTACCCGTCGCCAACATCCAAACACAAAGGGAGATCAGACGTTGTTAAAAGAAAGCTGTTACAAGCTGCAATCACCTGAGTCAGTTTCTTAAACGTAATCAGATGCTTTGGGTTTTTTTTTTTTTTTTTTTAAAAACGGGGCACTTTAAAGAAGAGGACAATGTAAGCCACAAAGACAATCATGGGTGTTGGGACCTGTCAGGAGATTGTCTATTCCTTAAGGCCAATGCTGAACCTTCAGGAGGGTCTCTGTTCTCTGCCATCCAGGTCCCTAGAATCAGTCATGAGCTACAAGGGGGTGCTCTGATACAGTAGAGACAGTGGGTTCCTGGTCAGGACCCCTCCTGGCCCCAGCACATCCACCATGTGACCCAGGCAGGTGTCCACATTTGTGATCCGTTTCCCACATGTGCACTGGGGCTCCTAGGAGCTGACCCATTCACACTTGAGGCCTCTGGGAGGCAGAAGGGCCTGGGGCAGGGCCGGAGTGCTCTGTAGGCCCTGCGGCTCCACTGAGGGGAGGCTCCTAGCTCCCGGGTCCTACCTTGTGCATCCAGTCTCTTGTCGGCGTAGACCTTGTAGGTGAAGGCATGCCGCAGGGCCAGAGCTGCGAAGAACATCTCCACGCAGATGATGAAGTCCTGATAGCCAGCAGCCACGGTGCCCTCGCCTACCGACACCCTGGCCGAGTGGATCTTGGGGATGGCGCCACACTTCTCCAGGATTGCCAGGAGCATGCCTTGGCATGGGGGGGGGGGGGAGAAGGGGAACATGGGCATCTGGCCCCAAACAGAACCCCCTTCCCAGTCCTCCTTCCTCTATGCAGCCCCCCAGATGCCCACCACCCCAGTGAAGATGGGCGTGGGGTCCATGCTGATACAAAGCCAAGTCACCACGAGACCCCATCCCCAATTCCTTGTCCAGGCACCAAAACACAGGTGTCACCAATTCTGAGTCTCTAGGCCCCCAGCCCACCCATGACATGGCCCCATGGATGGTCCCTTTGAGCTCCAGACCAGCCATCACCCCGGGGTGCCGCACAGAGAAGCTGGGAGGGGCTCACCTTGCCAGAAGGAGAGAAAGATGACAGACTTGACCATGAAGAACTTGAGGACGGGGCTGTAGGGGCTGAGTAGCTCTCGGGTGGCGAAGTAGAAGAGAAAGAGGGCATAGAGGGCCAGGCTGACGGAGATGTTGTAGATGATGGTGACGTAGAGGTAGCCGCTGGTGACACTGTGGGAGTGGGGGCAGGCTCTGGCTTGGATGGAGGGACAGGGCCCCTGCTCCTCCCCGCCATCTCCTGCCCTCATGGCTCTCAGTAGCACTGTGCAGGCCACTGAAGTGAGGGCGGCTGGTCAGAGGACTCGGGATACTGGGCTTGGGGATACAAGGGCACGGGCAGTACAGAGCCCATGGGTGTAAACTGCTGTTTGCAGCTCTGGTGTCCATGCTTCTGGTGGGATGGGGGTTCCTGATGGGGGTTGGGGGCTCTGGTGGGATATGGGGGCTCCCAGTGGGGACCAAGGCTCCTGATGCGGGCAGGGAACCCTGATAGGAATATGGTGTGCTGGTGGTGATGGGGGCTCCTGGTGTGGGATGGGGTTGCAGATGGAGAATACAGGGTCCTGGTGGGAAGTGGGGTGTACTGGGGGTGATGGGGGCACCTGGTGTGGATGGGGGCTCCTGATGGGGGACAGGGGGTCTTGGCAAAGGACAGGCAGTCCTGGCAGGCAAAGCAGGAACAGCAGCTAGGGCTGTATTTGGGGCCTTGGGTGGGAGGCACAGCCATCAAGACCACCAGAGACAGTATCCAAGCAAGTGAAAGCGAGCTTGGCTCTGCCACCTTTCCACTTGAGCCTGGCTGCGCCCCCTATCCAGCCCCAGGCCCTTCCCTGCCTAGACAAGGCTGCGGGATAGGCCCAGCAGTGTGATGAAGGGCTTTCGAGGACTCCGGGCCCCCGGTAACACTCAGCGATCTCCAGCTGAAGGGCAGGTTCACACCTGGGGGGGCTCAAACCTGCCGCCCCCCCGACTTGGGAGTACAGTCACTGTCCCTTCCTGACCCAGCCCAGGGCACCACCCTGCAGCCTGTCTGGGCAGGTGACCAGTGCTCAGGTCCACTGGACTTGTGCAGGGACATGTGGTGTGGGTCCAGTCTGCTGCCCACCTCCTGAGCGAGGTCATCAGCCTCTGTGCAGGCCGCCCACCCTACACCAACACTCGTCCCCACACCCGTGGCCAGCTCCCACTGCTTACTCAAAGTCACCGTCCCGGTACTTGCCGAAAGCTTGCAGGACCACGGTGCTGACGGCCATGAGTGGTTTCACCACACAGAACTGCAGGGTGGCCTGTCGGGAAAGCAGGGAGTACAGAAATGCACAACCAGCGCCCCCTACTCCCACTGCCCTGGCCCCTGGGAGAACTCTGTCTAGAGGGGGAGGCAGAACGTCTGAGACATAAAACGGCAATGCAGTTGTGAGAAGACCCAGGGATGTTTAGGGAAGGAAGACAGGGTGGGGAATAGGCAGTTCGGAGACAGAAGAGCTCATTAGAGAAGGCTTCACTGAAGGAGGCACCCACACCACCACACCTGAGTCGTGGACAGGGGCCAGGAGCTGGGGCTGCTAGGAGGGAGGAGGCAGTGGTGGGGAGGTTGGGAAGACAAGCTGGGGCTGCTAGGAGGGAGGAGGCAGTGGTGGGGAGGTTGGGAAGACAAGCTGAGGCTGCTAGGAGGGAGGAGGCAGTGGTGGGGAGGTTGGGAAGACAAGCAGGGTCAGCTTATGGAGGCTGTGATGCTTAGGACCTCGCCCTACTCCATTATTTTGCACAAGGGCACAGGAAGGCAAGAAGGGCAAGAGTCTCAGGTGCCCTGGGTTCAGAGTTGGGGTCTCACCAGGCATGAAAATGACCCACGGAAGCATGGAGCAGAGAGAGAAAAGGGCAACGCAATCAAAGTACATGGAATTCTAAGAGCAGAGTTGGAATCTCAGCCTCACCAGCGCCTGGCTTCAGGCACACCAGTGAGCACCCCCTAATCTCTGGGCGGTCTCTCCCTGGAAAGATGGCCATACCGTTGTGTCCCAGGGTAGCTACTACAGGAGCCAAAGTCGGGCGTAGTATTTTCCTGGAGGTCTCTCACTTCTGCCCTATCCATAAAGACCTCTGAAAGCTTTCTCAGGCCCTTAGCTGAGTTTTTACATAACAGCAGCCCCCTCAGTACTGGACCAGTAAATGGCATCATGATAAATGGAGAGAAGACTGAAGTTGTCAAAGACTTCGTCTTGTTTGGCTCTACCATCAACATTCATAGAAGCAGCAGTTAAGAAGTCAAGTGATGCACTGCATTAGGCAAATGTGCTGCACAAAACCTCTTTAAAGGGTTTGAGGACTAAAGTGCGTCTGATCCAAGCCATGGTATTTTCAATCGCCTCATATGCACATTCACCACTCGCCTGTCAGTTTGTCGTCTGGTGGTGGCTGCTGTGTTGCTGGGATGCTGGAAGCGATCCCCACAAGCACTTTAAATACCAGTAGGGTCACCCACAGGAGACAGGTTTCAGCTGAGTTCCCAGACTAAGAAATTCTAGAAAGAAGGAGAAGACAGACTACTTCTGAATGTTTAGCCACTGAAAATGTTATAAATAGCAGATGTTTGTCAGAAATAGTGCAGGAAGATGACAAGATTAAGAATAGTGCCAGAATACTGTCACACAGACTGCCAGAAGCTGAGCCCCTCAGGTTGGATGGCGCTCAAAATAGAGCTGGGGAAGAGCAGCCTCTTCAAAGTAGTGTTGACCAGATGGCACAAATGGAGTAAAGCTTTTGGGCCCTTCATTTGCTGAAGGTGCACAACTCAATTTGAGGAGAAACAGTTGCAAAATAATAATCCACCAATAATTCGAACATGGAATGTATGAAGTATGAATCTAGGAAAACTGGAAGTTAGCAAAAATTAAATAGAACACACAAAGATCAAACTCCTATGCGTTGCTGAGCTGAAATGGCCTGGTAATGGCCATTTAGAATCTGACAATCATAAGGTTTACTACACTGGGAACAACAAATTGAAGAGGAATACCATCACTTTCATCATCAAAAAGAACATTTCAAGTTCTGTCTTGAAGTATAAGGCTGCCTGTGATATGACACTATCCATACACCTATGGATCATGACAAGCTATGGACAACATTGAGAAGTATGAGTATTCCAGAACACTTCATTGTACTTCTAAGAAATCTGTACCTGGACCAAGAAGCAGTTGTTC